TATCAATATGGAATCATTTTTTGTAGAGAATTTGTTTTGATAATACAAGTACATAAAAAATACTTTTATTTATTTATAGTTAACATAAACTAATTTTATAAAAGAGGTAAAGTTATAAATATAATAAAAATAATTTTTTTTTTTGAAGAGATGGATAAAAATAAATGAGTTTTGAGTGAATGATATACGAACACTACCAGAAATTTAGAAATGGGCCTTGAAAAAAAGCCTCGGAATCAATTCCAAAGCAATTAAAAATTAATATAAATAATATTAAATATCTTTTATTCTAATAACTTCAGAAATTCCGAGACCATTTTTTATATAATATTATTTAATTTAAAAGACACAGAATGTCCGAGGCTGTTCCATGACTATTGCTATTAGGTTCGGAATTTTCTGAGTCCCTTATAAATGATCTCGGAATGTTCGAAGTTTTATTATATATGTTACTCTCTCAGTCCGCCAAAATTATAGTCATTTCCATTGTAAATTACAAAGGAAATGAATATAATTTTGACGGATAGAAAGAGTATTTTTTTTTAATTAAAAAAATTGTCTCAAAAATTTCTTAGACAATTTATTATATGTATTATTTATATTTAATTAATGAAATAGTTTTGAAAATTTCGAAGCTTTATTATCTATATTATTTTTTAATTAAGAAAATTATCCTCGAATTTCTGAGATAATTTAGTAAATATTATTTATATTTAACTAATGAGATACTTTTGAAAATTCAGAAACTTTATAATACTCACTCCGTCCCACTTCAATTGTCTTCACTTCTTTTTTTATCCGTCCCACTTTAATTGGCACGTTTCTATTTTTGATAAAGTTTACTAAATCTATATATACTTAACAAATATAAATCATCTTAATTAACTTTATAATATATAACATCACATATCACGTAGACCACTCAAAACCCCTTTATTTATATTTCTTTCCTCAAATAAACAAATATTTTTATTACATTTTGTTGAGATATAATATTTATAATATTTAAACACATATTTCAAATATTCTTAATATATATTAATTCTTAAAACTATTAAGAATACTACTTATATAATAATAGAAATAAAATAATATCATAACTCACTATTATTAACTAATTAAATAAATATCGTGCTAAAACTAAAATGAGCCAACTCTAATGGGATGGAGGAAGTATATATTATTTTTTAATTAAGAAAATTATCTCAGAATTTTCGAGACAATTTGTAATATATATTCCATATTATTTATATTTAATCAATGAAATAATCTCGAAATTTTTGAAACTTTATTATATATATTATTTTATTAATTAACAAAATTATTTCAGAATTTTCGAGACAATTTATTATAATTTTATTTATATGTAATTAATAAAATAGTCTCGAAAATTTCAAAATTTTATTATATATATTATTTTTTTAATTAAGAAAAATATCTCGGAATTTTCAAAACAATTTATTATATATATTATTTATATTTATTTAATTAAATGATCTTAAAATTTTTTATACTTTCTTAAATATATTATTTTATTTAATGAAATAGGTTCAAAAATTTTCCGAGTCCATTAAATAATTCAAAATTTCCACCACTTTACTCTCTTTTAAATATAAATATACTACTAATAAAATATATACCATAAATAAATATATACCACCGCCCTGCTCAATCCCCTCCCCATACTCACTTCCCTATCTTTCTTCTTCCTCTCATCTTCTTCGTCTCCCCTTCCCTATCTTTCTTCTTCTCCTTCTTCCTCCACTGCGTTGCATTTCTCGCGAAGATAAAGTCTTCTGCTGTCGCTGCCTGAAATCTTTGGTGAGCTTTTTTTTCTTTTATTTTCCTCCACCGCCTTCGCCGCCGTGGCCAGCTGGAATTTTCGGTGAGTCTTTTTTTTTCTCTTTTATTTTTTTTTACAATCGTTGCCTTTGTTTCCGTCCTCAGCTTCTTACGCCGGCGGTCGCCGGTTACCGTCGCCGGCATTGCAGTTTCAGAATTATGGTAGTGGTGGCGGCAAAAAGAAGTGGCGGCAACTCTTTCTTGTTCATTGGTAGTGGCAGCGGTAGAGGCGGCAGCTTCTTCTTCTCCAACGGCATTGGCGGCGGCAGCTCCTCCTACATCTCCGGAGGTGGCGGCAGCAGCTCCTCGTCAGTCCTCATCTTCTTCTCTGGTAATTTTTTCTTTTCCAGCCATGGGGGCAGCAGCGGCAACTGGTTGATTAGATATTTATTTTTTTAATAAACATTTAATAATTCCTTCAGAAATCCCGAGGCAAAAAATAAAAAGTACCCCACGCGCCCTTTGTTGGCTGCAATTTTTTGGAATGGGTTTCGAAAATTTTGAACCTATTTATTCCACTCAAATGGCAACGAGTTTAATCTTCGGGCAACTCTCTGAGAGAAATTTTGAGACTTAAAAATATTTACGGATCTATTTTAAATTTCGAGGCTAATTTGTTTAGACTTATGTTTTTTTTCTGGTAGTTGATGTATGGTGTTATTTATTATGTAGTTAGTTAAGTTGATTTATATTTGTTAAGTATGTTTTGATTTAGTAAATTTTATTCGCAATAGAAAGTTATCAATTGTTATGGGACAAAAAAAATAAAAAAAGTATCAATTGTTATGAGATTGATAATTTTTATGAGACTGATTGAGTGTAAGTTAAAGTCAATGTGTGAACTTGGGCTTTCCTCATTAGTGCTCGTTTGGTAAGCTCATCTAAGTTTAGAGATTTATGGTGTGCCTTTTATCGCAATGACTACTTGATCTACTAATGTCATGCGTCATATCTCATCGTCTGTTGTAAAATTGACCTCTGTAATAGTGTTTTCGGGTGATAACCAATTCCAAACAAGTGTCCTCTTCGAAAGGCCTCTATTCTGGCCAAGCCTCTCGAACACGGTTCTTCGAGGTGCCTTCCAGGGCTAATGAAGCTATCGATTCCAATAAACGTGTTATCAGACTTGTAAACTCAGTGGAGATTGGGTCCGGCTAGTCCCTAGGTCCTCCATGAATTGCATTCTAATAGGGATGCCAAGTTTGCAAATACAAAGTCGGGGGAACAAGCAAAAAGAGTTAGGGTTAGATAGGCAGTCGAAAAAGGGGCCTCATTAACAACTAACAACATAAAAGAGAGGGAAGAAGAGGAACTGGTTCCAACGAATCGGAAAGTGGAGAAATATTATAGAGCTAAGGAGCTAATGAACTTATTTATTGAATTGGTGTATCGTATGATATTCTGTTGTTTATTCCTGAAATGTGGGTTGATGTAGTTGATTTTCCACATCACAACATCGTCTGCTCGTATATACTACAACCTCCGTCCGACTATAAGGGTCCATTTACTTATTACATGAAAACGTAATACAAAAAAAGGAAAAAAAGGAAAAAAATACTTCTATTAGTGTTTTATAATACTATTACAATGACATTTGTGCAAAACCTTATGCAAATATAAGAATATTTTAATATTAAGTACAATGACGCAAAAGGTAAATGATACACTTAGAGCCGGACAGAGTGAGTTTTAGAAATGAGGTCATTTGTAGCGGGCAAAAACAGATACAAATACTCCTTTTTTGACACAAAAAGTCTTTTGTGTCGAATTTGTAAGTAACTTTGACCATTACAAAAACTCGAATAATAAAATGTTTTTCTAACGGCACTATCCGTAACAAAAGGTTGATAGTCAACGCCTCTATTACACACGTGCTAAATTTATTTGTAATGGTTCAAAGCATTTTTTGTAACGAAACGATCCATTACAAAAAAACAAATATAATTGTCCTTCTTCGTTATAATAATCTTTTGTTACGAAAATTGTCGTTACAAATACTTCAAACTTGTTTTAAAAAAATTATTACGAAATTTGGCTGTAACAACAATACTATTATAATTTTCTACTTACTGTAACAAAACTTTTTGAAACAACCCAAAAAATTGACAAAAATAGTAGTATTTGTTACAAAATTACTTTCATAAAATCTTGTTTTTATAATAAATACAAAAACATACAAAATCACGCTGATTCTGACATTTTTTAAGACTTCAAAAACATAAGTATAATGTTGTTGTCCAACAAGCATGTTAACACATATCCAAAATTCCTAACATCCAAAATATCCATAATTCAGACTATCCAACATCTAAATAAAATAAAAATAAATATAAGTAGGAATTAAAACAAACATGGTTGTTGTTTCAACAATTTTCCAAAAGGCACTCAGAGGTGGTGAATCAACTACAATAAAAAGTGAACTTGTTTATTTATATCGTTATCCAATGAATTAAATTAATTATCAGGAAAAAATAATTTGAAGAACAAAGTACGCACAACTTTAGAAGTCAGTCGATGGACTCGATATTAACTACCTCACTGAGGGTGCTTGCACCATCATTCGTGGAAAGATTAAAGGGGTGTCTGGGACAATAGCAGATGTGACAAACACTTTCACGAGTGCGGGGTTATCATCTAAATATACGAATCACAAATACTTATTATATATAGAGAAATAATTGAAAATATCACGCAAAAATTAACAAATAAACAAAAATAATGAATTTAAAGATCAATAATGACTCATACGAAATGACACATGATGAAAGTGTTCCCTAAATGTTGCAAAATCCAAAAAATATCCTATGCGTAACCCAAAAACAACACCCTAGATAACTTCAGTATACAAAGCTTCAAACGATAGGGATATTTCTATAGCACAATTTTTTTTGTACTGTGTACTAAATAGGCATAACACATAACAAGAGTAACATTGGTAAAATCGAACTATACTCAACTCTAATGTCAAGTATCTACACAATGTCAACATAAATATCCACTAAGAGTAAATTTCAAACGGGAGAACCATATAAACAACAAATCAACAACAATAACAAACTCCTTGAAAACCATACATCAAGAATAAATAAGAGTTTTTAAATATTTGATCAACAACAATTATGAATGTGCCCACAAACCAACTCGGTCATAGTAGCAAGTAATCACAATTAAGGAAAGGACAAAAAGGTCACCCCTATTAGGAGACACTCAAAAACTGGTTGACACTCAATAACTCACAGAAAATTCAGTGAGTTTGTGGCACGGTTGGAAAGTTGGTGTAACGTAGATTGTCCCTCACAGTCGATTCTTGCGCACCTTTCCAAAGGATAGAATTGTGAGAGGATAGAATTCATAGAAAATAAGAAGAATATATAGCTACAAAGGTTCAAGGTTCAAGGTTTAGAATTTATAGAATTTGATATTCAAGGTTAAGGTATAGAAAATAAGTAGAATATATTAGAAGAATAGTTTAATACCCTCCAAAAGTTCAAAGTTTCTAAATAGCTACAAATTTGATATTCAATAGAAAATAAGAAGAAATCATACCCATCCAGGACAAGCTTCAGGTGGTGCACAAGATTCAACAAGTGACCTGTAACCTCCAAAATAAACAAACAAATAGGTATTAAGAATAGATTAAATATAACTTTGAGATACATAAAAGCACATGATAGCTATGAATTTATATGCAACCTGTACACGAAAAATCAATCCAATGAGAGTTTGGATAGCAGCACACACTTCTACAGAAGCATCCACTTTGAAAACTCATATGACCGCAGGAAGAAGTAGATGCATATGCTCGTCCAAAGCCCCTAAAGAATAGCGTCAAATATTTCAAGTCACATGTTAGCACTCAAAGAATCAAATGCAGCGCGTTTGCCCAATAGCCAGAAGGCTCCTGTTTATTTCCTCAAAATTAATATTCCTCCCCAACGATGTATTCACCACACACTTAAACAATGATTAACCCTAAGCCTAACACTTAGGCCCCAAACTAATAAAACAAGGCAATAACAATTAATACAATAATAAGGATATATAACTAAACCAATGCCGGCTCAGCCCTCTTGTCGTGACGCCATCGGCTGTAGACCAACAACTGCCGTGGCTGCGCCACCCCGACCCCTTGCTCCACATCAACTCCCTCACCCTCGAAAACAACCTTGTCCCCAAGTTTGAACCAAGGAAACTGCAGTTGGAACTCACGTCTGCTCATCCACCTCGCGCCTCCTCCGACTGACCAACCAAATGTACCAACAATTGTTCCTTCTCAACACCAGTCTCTTCCATGCTCCACCTTGCCAACACCGCCTCGGGTTCGAACACAGGAATCTCCGGCAACTCCAGCGAATCCGGTAAGCTGGCCTCCACTGCATGGTCACCAATCACTCTCTTAAGCTGCAAAACATGGAAAACTAAATGAATACGGCTCGTCTCCAGCAGCCCCAACTTGTAGGCAGTAGGGCCAATGCGAGCCACCACTTCAAATGGCCCAAAGAACTTGGCGGCGAGCTTGTGGTGTTTGCCGGCCAGCGACGTCTGTCGATGTGGACGCACCTTCAAGAACACCGGGTCGCCCACCTCATAACTGACATGCGGAGATTATGGTTGGCCGCACGCACCATTCTCTCCCTCGCACGCATTAAATTGATATGTAAACGAGTCAACATCACATCATGGCTCCGAAGCATTTCCTCCACAGCCATGGTGCGACACTCACCTGGCAAGTACCTCCGGAGCGTAGGGGGTTGTCGCCCATACACAACTTCGAATGGCGTTAATTTTGCTGCAGTCTGGAACGCCGTATTGTACGAGTATTCTACTCAGGGCAACCAGTTCACCCACCTCTTTGGTTGCTCCCCAGAAAACAATGCAAATAAGTCTCCAACACCCTGTTCAGCACCTCCGTTTGGCCATCCGTTTCAGGATGATACACAGAACTAAACTTGAGTTGAGTTCCCGACAACTTGAAAAGCTCCTTCCAGAAAACGCTCACAAATAAAGGATCACGGTCAGTGACAATGGATCGCAGAATTCCATGCAAACTAACCACCTCACGCATAAAGGCCTCGGCCACTGACCTTGCCGTGAGATTGCCTTTTAGTGCTATAAAATGACCATACTTGCAGAGGCGATCAACCACTACCATCACCGAGCTATACCCCTAAGACTTCAGCAACGTGGTGATGAAATCCATTGAAATATCCTCCCAAATGAGATCCGAAACCAGTAACGGCTGCAACAACCCGGCCGGTGACAGAGCCTCATATTTCGCTTTCTGGAAGATCAGGCATTTTGTCACGTAGTCCTGCACTGCCCGGAACATGCCTCTCCAATAAACACTCGAAGCGATCCTCTTATACGTCCGCAGAGCTCCAGCATGACCTCCCAAAGGGGTGTTGTGGAATTCCTGAAGTAGTTTCGGAATCTACACTGAGTCGGAGCTAGCACAACGCGGCCTTTATAGAAAAATTTTCCGTCGACCGTCTTAAACCCCGGTCGACTGCTCGGGTTCCGACGAAGATCAACAACAATGCTCTGAACAAAGCCACCGCGTGCCTGCTCGGATAGCACATCCGCCAACTCACCCTAATCTGTGCTACTGAGTGCTAACAAGAAGATTTCATTCCCCCTCCGAGAAAGTGCATCCGCTGCCGAGTTAGCCACACCGGGCTTGTACTCGATAACAAAATCATAGCCCAATAATTTTGCCACCAAATTTTGCTGAGAGGGCGTAACGATCTCCTGTGACAGGAGGTGCTTCAAACTGCTATGATCCGTCCTCATCGTAAACTTGCGATCCACCAAATACAGCCTCCAATGCTGCACTGCTAAAACCAACCCCATCATCTCCTTCTCATATACCGACCGCGTAAGGGTTTTCTCCGCCAAGGACTTACTAAAGTACGCGATTGGACACCCCTCCTGCATAAACACAACGCCAATCCCAGACCCGGAGGCATCACACTCAATCACAAACTGCTTCTGAAAATCTGGCATCGCCAAAACCGGAGCCGTTGTCAGAGCAGATTTTAACGCTCAAAATGCCCCATCGGCCGCTTCCGTCCAAGCGAATGGAACAGAAGCAGTCTCTTCAACAAGTCTGTCAAGGGTCGTGCGATCTACCCATACCTCTGGATGAACCGGCGATAATAACCGGTAAGTCCCAAAAAGCCCCTAACGTAAAGGACATTGCGAGGACCAGGCCACTCCACAATCGCCCGTATCTTCTCTGGATCCATCTCTACTCCTGCCGCTGATATCACATGACCCAAATACTCTAATTTTCAAGAAACCAAATGAGCATTTCTTCCGGTTGGCCTTATACTAATTATCTTGCAAAACCTCAAGTGCTCTTTATGCTACTGCCGAGACCTGCAGTAAACCATAATGTCGTCAAAAAAATACCAACACAAATTTCCTTAGATAAGGTCGAAAAAAATCATTCATAGCGGATTGAAAGGTTTCCGGTGCGTTAGTCAGGCCAAATGGCATAACCAGAAACTCATAGTGACCACTATGACTATGAAACGCTGTTTTATAGATATCACGATCCTCTACCTGAATCTGGTGGTATCCGGAATGAAGGTCAATCTTTGAAAATATCACCGCTCCCGACAGCTCATCTAAGAGCTTCTGAATAACGAGAATGGGATACTTATTCAACATTGTCACTTTATTGAGCTCCCGATAGTCCACACAAAAACGCCAGCTACCATCTTTCTTTTGGTTAACAACACCGGGCTGCGGAATGGGCTGGATGATTTCGGCTAGGAGCATGTCCACAACCATTCACTCAATCTCATCCTTCTGCACCTGGCCAGAGCGATATGGCCTCACCGATACAAGCCCCGAACTTGGCACCAACTCGACCTTGCGCTCGGTACCGCAAATCGGGGGCAGCCCCTCTGGCTCACCGAAGACCCTCTCAAACTGTGATATAACCTCCGCGATTGCCTCCCCTGCAGGCTCCAGCACCCCTAGCGGCGCCCCCAATACTACCATAATCAACAACTCCGTTTTCTCCATTTGAACCAACGCACGGACCCTAATGGGTCCCCTACATAGAGTTGGATCTCCACCCAAATGCACTCGCCTTACTTGAAAAAAAATGACATCATCAATTTGGCCCAGTTTGTCTTAACTTCCCCAAGTGTCACCAACCACGCTGCCCCAAGAAGGATAACGTCTACTCCATCTAGAGGAAAAGCGTGAAATCCGCTTTTAACTCGAGACCGGCCATTGGCAACCCGATATTACGGCATATCCCCACCAACTCCAAGTGTCGCCCATCGATCAGCTGAACCCCGAACCGGCTCGACTCATCAGGCTTCAAGTCGAGCTCTCCTACCACGGAATCAAGGTGAAATTATGACTAGCACCACTGTCAATCAACACCGTAACCCAACGTCCAAGCATTTCTCCCACAAAGCGCAAGGTTCGTGGCTCGGTGAACCCCGCCATCGAGTACATTGGCAACACGGCCTCCTCCTTCTCCCCCTCTTCCGGCACGACCACGGCTGTTTCTCCTTCTTATCGATTAGGATCACTGTGAAACTCAAAACAGTGTAGATCTAACGCCTCGTCCTCCTCTGCCATTAATACATTCAATTTCCGCATGGGGTATTGATGCCCTGGCATATACGTTTTCTTACAGCGAAAGCATAAACCTTTCGCTCGAAGTTCCGCCATCTCTTGAGGAGACATGCGAGAGAAACGTGATGGAGCGGCCGACTGCACCCCGGAGAGCGACCGCGCTGGTTGAATTCGCTGTGGGGGTCTTGAGCCCGGCGACCCCGTGGACCCCACCTACTGAGACAGGCTAGGCCTCGGCTCGGAGGAAAAACTCTGCCCTGATGTAGGCTAGCCATAGGAAGCAAGCCGCGCAAACGTACTATTGCTAGCCCTTCAATCTCGTCCCCCACCAACAATTGTCAAATTCAACTCCACATCTTGCTAGATCCATCGCCGTCTCCAAATCTGGCGGCCATAGGAGACGGAGAGAACCCCGAACCTCATTTAACAACCCCTTCATAAAGTATCCCACATAATGTTCATCACGCAATCCCGGAACCTGACTGGCCAACTAAACAAACAAGTTAGAATATTCCTCCACTGTGCCTGTTTGCGCAACCACCGCTAATCTCTCGAAGGGGCTTCCCTTAAAACGAGCGTCAAATCGGTTTTTCAGAGCCCGAGAAAATTCCACCCAAGTCATATCCGGCTTTCTGGATCAATCCATGAAAACCAGTATAGTGCCGATCCCTCCATCGCTACCATTGCAGCCGCCAATTTTGACTCATCGGTTGTATGGTGCAACTCGAACTGCTAATTGGCCCTCGCCAACCAACCGATCGGATCTGCCCCGTCAAAAGAGGGCAACGGTGGTGGCGTTAGATCCCTCTTCACTTCAACCCTAATCTCACCCCCCCCCCCCCCCCCCCCCCCGGTCGCAGCCGAGTCTACCACATCATCGCTCACCTGCTGTCGTGGGGTAGTCGACGTCCCAGCCACCCCACCCGTCATTGAACGGGCAGCCGCGATGGAAGCAACAAAAGCCGTCAGCCCGGCCAAGGTACGAGCGATCTCCTTCAACTGCTCGGTTACCCTAGCCTGATCCTCCACCATCGCCTTCATCTCTGCCCTGATTTCCGCTTGTCCCTTCTCCAAATCCTCAAATCTCTATTCATTGCGTGTGTTCGTCATCCCAGGTGAGTGATTCACGCTCGCCGCACCAATTGTTAGCACTCAAAGAATCAAACGCAACGCGTTTGCCCAATAGCCAG